GGGATTCTTAACAAAGATAGCAGAGGAAGAGATAATGTTTAGGATTTGCAGGATTCGTCATTTTCTGTTGATGGGTGTGGCCTTTTTTCAAAGAGACAAAAAGTGAAACCTGGCACTTATCCACATCGGGAGAGGTGAATTAAGCTTCGTCATCAATTATTCTAGCCACAAGTAATCTTTGTACTCAAGTTCAAAGGTTGTATACTTGTATATGAAATACTACGTACTACGGGTGCTACATTGTCTTGTCCTTTTTTGTGCACATAGTTCACTTAGTAGTCACCTAAAACTCTAAAAGACTAAACTATGTATTTGAAAATGTTTCTTTAGGGTTTGGACTTGGTATAGTTTTCAATGTAATTTTTGAAAATGTTAATTTTAAGTAGTAAAACTGATTCAATTAACTGCAAGATGATTTAACTTTGTTGTTAGTCAACCTTATAAATGGAAGTTGTACTAATTATGTTTCATTGTCAACAGAGTACCTAGGATCAATAAAACAATAAAGACTTAACCCATAACTTCATTTACTTCCTCCGTTCCTTTTTAATTGCAACAGTCAACATTTCACGTTTGCCAACGCACAAGTTTGACCATTAATATCTTTCATTCTGTATTAGTAAAAAATTTTAAAAATTCATATTTTGAAAATTTAGAATGAGAAGAATTTAACAATATTTTTTAAAAATTTAATTAATAATACATAAATTAATAAAATGTAGTCAAAGTAGAATATGTGAATAGTGCAAAAAGTCCAACGTTGCAACTAAAAGAGAACGGAGGTAGTATATTGAATGAGTCATATACTACATACGTACTCCGTATTTAGAAAAAATAGTACTATTTGAGAACGTGCCATGTTTAGCTTCTATCTAATGAGTTTTCTCAATTATGAATGATTATTACATATTATCATTATCCTAATTAAGCACATTCCTAACATGCTAACAATGCTTCTTTGATGTGTCAGATGATGTTTGTGGCAGGAACAGAGACGTCTTCAGCAACCATAGAATGGGCGATGTCATTGCTGCTAGCTAATCCAGAGGTGATGCAGAAGTTGAGATCAGAGATAGACAACTACATCGGACCCGATCAACGTCTCATAAATGAGTTGGACATTCCCAAGCTCCCATATCTACGAGGAGTAGTGAAGGAGACATTGAGGTTATACCCTCCCGCGCCACTTCTCTTACCACATTGTTCAACCGAAGATTGTGTGGTTGCAGGATACGACGTTCCCAAGAATACAATCTTATTGGTAAATGTTTGGGGCATGCATCGGGATCCAACGGTGTGGGAGGAGCCCGAGAAGTTCATGCCTGAGAGATTCGAAGAAGCATCGGAGGAGAAGGAAGGATTCAACTACAAATTTGTTCCCTTCGGGTTGGGGCGAAGGGCCTGCCCTGGAAACAATATGGGATTGAGAACTGTCGGGGTGGCATTGGCGACTTTGGTTCAATGTTTTCATTGGGAAATCAGTACGGAGAAAGATGACAGAGGCGAAAGCCGCTCAGCCTCAATCCTGCAGAGGGCTAAGCCGCTAGAAGCCGTGTGTATGCCTCGAGCCAGTTGCCTTCCATTTCTAGACTAGATGCTTGCAACTGCAATTCTACATATGTTTAGTTGTTAATTAATTATGTCAGGTCCGAGTGTGAGGCGTCACAATTAGCCACTCTACCTTTTTGGGTTGAGTGCTTTTAATTTGTGTGCTAATGTGCCATATATGTTTTCCTTTTGTTATGGTAATCTTGGGCGCTCTCACCATTTTGGCCAAAGTATTACTCCGTATCCTATATTTTTCCCTATTTCAAAATATATGGAATTACATTTAACCTTGATATGAGATCCACGTACTTCAAGGGTACCATGTCCGTTGAATGATAGAGGAGCTAGCAAGCTTGAGTTAGCACACCAAATTAAACCACACCTTTCAACGAGGGTGGATAGAGACCGAGCATGATACTTAAAAAAACATGACATCGAGTCTCAACTCTGCCCCGACAACACCGCCCGGATAGTTATGATGTAAATTGAATTTTAAACACAAACTCTATGCACTTTTGTATAGAAGCCTCTCAATGCACTTGTCAAGATCAGATCTCAAGACTTATTCACTTGTGATAACTATATCTACCTGATGAGTTTTTTTTAAAAGGATCTACTTGTTGAGTTACGTCCACCAGCCAACGCGATACTTCACTTGCTTAGACGAGACCCTACTTCCATTAAAATTTACTTGTAAGTTAGTTTTGTTGTATTGAGTCTACAAAGAATTACCTAAAATATGACTACTTTTCATCCAGATGTAAAATAAATAATACCTAAAATAAGACAATATTAAAATACGAATAGTGAATAAAAATGTGATTTAATAATTTTAAATGACAATTTTCATGTTAAAACTTTACATCACATCACAGTGACTACAATATATGTACAAAATCACATTTTTCATAAGTTTTGTTCTAGTACCCCTTATCTTTTACGGAGTATAAAATACCACTTCTTTTTTGGTTTTTCAAAAAATATGAATACTTCTCTAAATGAATTTTACAGGAGTTTTAATTTCATTTATCATCTATTGCCTTTGTCACATTCAAAGATTTCTATTCAGTACACGTAAAATCTTCTTAAAATCATTAACTTAATATATTCAACTTTCATCAAATTTGAGTTTTTTACGATTTTATAAAAAAATCTAATTACGTACAAGAATTAGTTAATTTTGAGAACAGTGGAATATAATAATCCGTGTGAAAACATTATGCAGTATTACCCAAAGAGTGACATTTTAGAGAAAATGTACATCAAACCCCTAATATTGTCACGCAGTAACGTTTTTTTGGTCACGCAATAACGTTTTGTTTTGTTGTGAAAAGCCGAAAACAATTCAAATAAAAATAAACACGCGAAAGGGACAATTATGACATCCACTTCGAAACTGTCATTCATTACTTCCCCTTTCCCCTTGTCCATAGAGAGCCAAGCCAGCCCATTTCCATGTGATGCTGTGTAATTGTGCAACGTCATCAGTTCTAACAAATCACTATATTGTTGAAATTTTTTGAGCATCTTATTCATTAAGTCTAGTTTACTCATACCAAATTTCAACTAAAACTTCAATCGGGAAGACATTCAAATGAATTCTTGAAAGTAACTGCACAGTTAGAAGCGCAGTTATCTTCAAGAATTCATTTGAATGTCTTCCCGATTGAAGGTTTAGCTAAAATTTGGTATGAGTAAACTAGACTTGATGAATAAGATGTTCAAAAAATTTCATCAAAAAAATTCCATTGGGAACCACCCCAAATGACGACGGCCGGATAGAGCCTCCTAAATAAGGGCTTATTTGACCTTTTTAGTTAGTACATGGGCCTATTTGCACCTTTTCCCTAATTTTAAACCAAAGTTTACAAATCCGGTACCCTCCTAAAAAATGGGTTACTGTACCTACCATTTATTTGATTGGACCACATCACCTTATCATTTTTAATTTAGATTTAAATAATTCAACTACTACATCCTTATTGGTCCATTTGGACAAAGGTATGGTACCTTATGAGTACCATAGAATCTATCATGTTTTATATTAATATATATTCGGAATAACCCCGTTTTTCACATTGAATTGGTCAAAATATGCCGATTTTCTTACCTTTTGGGGACGATTAGATCCTGTAACTGGTTTTCTATAGGCCATGGTTGACCAATATTGCACAGTGATATTTAAGCAAGAGGAACTAATTGAAAAGATATGCAAAGTATATTGTTCGTTGTATTCATTCTCAAATGGAAGATTACAATATACTAGGTATACACTTGTGTAGTTATGTACGTTATTCTTCGGTAGGAAATAAGTCCTACGCCTACAAAAGTGCTCAAGGGTGGTGCTATTAAATACATAAAATAAATACAACAAAATAAAGAATATACGGATAATAATGATTTGAGCTTATCCGTCCAACGGCTTGCTTGCATGTGTACGTAAGTATGTATGAGGATATACACCAACACCCCCTCAAGATGGAGCGTGGGGGTCTAGAATGTCCATCTCGGAAAGGAGATAATGAAACTGAGAAGTACCGAGGGATTTGGTGAACAAATCCGCCAATTGCTCCGAAGTAGATGTGTAGGAGGGAGTAATCACGCCAGAACGCACATGGTCACGAATGAAGTGACATTCAAGCTCAATGTGCTTCGTACGTTCATGAAACACAGGATTAGAAGCAATGTGAATAGCTGCCTTATCACACAGTAGTTGCATCAGTGGCAATTAGATACGCAAAGAAGAGAAAAGGCTCTTGAGCCAAAGTAATTCACAAGTGAGAGTAGCTATGGATCTATATTCTGCTTTCGCGGACGAACAGGACACAATAGCTTGCCTTTTGGTGCGTCACGAAATAGGAGAATCACCCAGTGTAACAAAATAACCCGTAACGGAACGCCTGGTGTTGGGGCAACTAGCCCAATCTGAGTCGCAATATTCAATAAGAGAGAGTGATGTGTGGCGTCCCAACAAGATTCATTGGCCAGGGTGACCCTTGAGATAGCGAAGAACCCGAAGAATGGTCTCCCAATGAGCAAGCTGTGGGGCTTGCATAAACTGGGAAAGAATATGTACAGAATAATTAATGTCTGACCGAGTGAGAGTGAGATAAATAAGCTTTCCAACCAGACGACGATAACGATCGGGCTCAGAAAAAAAGGTCTGTTATCAGACTGTAGTCCATGATTTTGAGGCATAGGAAAAATAACCGGCCTGGCCCCAACCAGTCTCAGTAAGAATATCCAACACATATTTGCGTTGACACAAGAAAATGCCTCGCCTACTCTGTGCAACTTCTAACCCAAGAAAATATTTCATGTGACTTAAGTCCTTAACAGGAAAGGTATTAGCCAAATACGTTTTGAAAAAGGAAATCATGGCAGGATAAGAGCCAGTAATCAGCAAATCATCAACATATACCAGAATGCATAACATGTGGCCCCCACGATGAAGAGTAAATAATGAATAATTAGCCTGAGACTGTTGAAACCCGTATGTGATAAGTGCATCAGTCAACTTAGAAAACCCACATCGGGGCCCATAAAGTGAGTGAAGTAATTTACACACCTGACCAGGTTTAGAAGTAGAATAACCAGGAGGAGGATGCATGTATACTTCTTCGTGAAGATCACCGTGTAGGAAGGCAATATCCACATCCATAAAGATCCCGGGAAGCAGCGATGGCTAGCATGGTCCGTACAGTGACCATTTTAGCCACAGGTGCAAATGTCTCGTCATAATCAATACCCTGAACTTGTCGGTTACCACACACGATCAACCGGGCTTTGAACGGATCAATGCTTCCATCACTCTTAAATTTAATTTTGTAGACCCATTTACAGAAAATGGGTTTCTTACCAGGTGGAAGGTCTTGTAATTGCCATGTTCCGGTCCACTCCAAGGCCTCAATTTCACGCTGCATGGTTGCCCGCCAATGTGGATCACGAACCGCTTCTTTGTATGTGTTGGGTTCCCTATTGGCTGAAACGGCTGCAAGCAAAGCACGATGGCGAAGCGAAAAACGTGTATAATTCACATAATGAGATAAGGGATAAGGATTACCTGGGTCAACCGTCGGAGGCGAGGGTCCAGCAGGCGGAGTATCTATTTTCATAGTGTTGACCTGCATCACATAATCTTTATGCCACAACGGTTTCTGCCGGGTTTTGTTGCTGCGTCGATCATGCATGCCTTCACCATGAGAAACTGATGTCGAGCCAGGTGTCCCATCCAGTGTGTGATCATTTGCCATTGTTGTCTCATCATTTGGAGCAATATGTGAATTGGTAGTGGAATGCTCCACGTGATCCCCCTGCTGGTTAGAACTAAAAGCAGCTGCAGTATCGGATGAGGATAAGTCCTGGTCATCATTTCCACCAAAATGATTGATATATAGAAGTGGCATCCTGGGGCATATGACCATGTGAATGGTCTGTTATCTCTGGAATTTCGTGTCGGCTCTCAAATGCATACGGGAATATTGTTTCAACGAAAGTGACATCCCGTGAAACAAAAAAAATTCGGGTTTCCAAAACAAACAATTTCCATCCCTTTTGTGAGTTAGCATATCCCAGAAAAACACTTTTTATTCCTCGGGGAGCAAATTTGTCCCTATTCTTCCCATGATTGTGAGCATAACACAAACATCCAAATACACGAAATTGATCATACTTGGGCGCTTTATTAAATAAAAGTTCATATGGACTTTTATAATCCAAGATAGATGAGGGTAATCGTTTTATAAGATAACATGCGGTCAACACACACTCACCCCAAAACTCAATAGGTAAATGCGCATGGAACCGAAGCGTGCGTGCTACTTTCAAGATATGTCTATGCTTGCGCTCGACCCTACCATTTTGTTGCGGAGTATAAACACAAGTAGTTTGGAACAAAATTCCAATGTCCAAAAAATAGGATTTTAGGGATTGAAATTATGTCCCACTATCACTCTGAACGATTTTCACCTTCTTATCAAATTGACGTCCTATCATCGTAATAAAATGTTTAAGAATATTTGAAACTTCAATTTTCTCACGCATCAAGTAAACCCACACTGCACGTGAAAAATCAGTAAAAAAATATCTAGCCCCACACGTTGCAGGTGAACGATACGGACCCACACATCACAATGAATCATATCAAATATTTCAAATGCTCTGGAATTACTAGTGTGAAAAACATCATGAGTCTTTTTTCCACGCATACAAGCATCACAAATTTTATTCAAATCAACTGACAACAAGGATTTATCAAAACTAAGTGCAGAACGTAAAATCTTCAATGATGGGTGTCCTAACCGAGAGTGCCACAAATTACTCGCGTCCTTCCCTCTTATTGAACACGCACGAACTGGATCCAAACTATGAAAATAGAATACTCCTCCACGCTTTTCACCCGCTCCAATCGGCATCCTCAAACATAAGTCCTGTATCACACAAATATCATTAGCAAAAATTATACCACATTTTCGTTCATCGATTAATTGCCCTACCGATATCAAATTTCATGTCAAACCGGGTACCAACAGTACATTATAAAGTTTCATGGCCTGATTTAAGTACACCTCACCGCTGCTCCGTGCAAATGCTATCTCACCGTTAGGCAAATAAACAGAAAATGGACGTATTTCCTGAATATTGACTAACAATTGTGCTTTTTTCAGTCATATGGAAGGAGGCCCCTGAGTCTATAAGCCATCATGTACTGGAAGACTTACCCGAGGACTTGTCATGCGGTGGCTTCTTACTTTGGTCTAGGAGTTCAAGCACCCTCTTCCATTGTTCGGCAGAAGTTCAGGTGCCCGTACCCTTTCCTTCATGCGTGCCGGCACATCTGCATTTTCTTCGCCGGACTCCTTCATTTGCACAACGTTGGCGACAGCTCGTCCACACCCTCTTCCGCCGCCACCACGTCCGCATCCACCTCTTCCTTGGCCCGGATTATCGTACCACCAGTCCGGATATTGGCCCGTCTTTTTGAAACAGTTTTCAACAACATGCCCTTGTTTTTTGCAAAAGGTGCAGACCACCTTGTCTTCTCTTCCAGTTGGCAGCACTACAGTTCGTGTACTAAAGGCAACAACATCAGCCTTCTCTACTTCATTCTGGGTCAAGTTCTGGAGCCGCTCTTCCTGCGTAACAATCTGGTACACTTTTGTGAGTGCCAGCAGATCTTTTTGACTACTAAGAAGATTTGAGCGTAGTCCTCCATATGTATCTCAGTCCAATCCCATAAGGAAATCATGTGTCTTTTCAAGCTCGATATGCTTCAAGAATTGTTTGTTCAATTCACACTTACAACCATCACAAGTGCACACCGGAATTTTACGGAGGCCGTCATAATCATCCCATAGTGCCTTGAGATGTCCATAGTATGTCGTAATCGTTTGACAGTTGTGCCGACAGGAGCAAATTGACTCCTTGAGCTCATAGATTCTCATCGAATCGGCTACCTCGAAACGAACCTTAAAGTCGTCCCATAATGCTGCAGCATCTTCCGTGTACACAATATTTGTTCGTAGTGCCGGGTCAATGGCCGTCATCAACTATCCCACTAACATGGAATTAACTGTATGCCAATCTTCGAGATCTTCCACGCTAGTTTTGGGTCGTTTAATCGTTCCTTCCAAAAAACCGAATTTCCGCTTAGCACGGGAAGCATTTTTCATCACCGTCACCCACTCCCTGAAATTTCCTTCACCTTTGAGGGTGAATCCGCAGATATTAATCCCAGGGAAGTCGGAGCTTGATAGATAATACGGCGATGAAGGATCATTAATTTTTCTTCTCCTAGGTTCGCCAAAGTTTGTGTCGTGGGTCGTGTTCACCATGTTGGTGAGATCGTTCAGAAATTCAAGTGCGGATCGTAAGCCGCTCTGATACCAAAATGAAAAGATATGCAAAGTATATTGTTCGTTGTATTCATTCTCAAATGGAATATTACAATATACTCCCTGCGTCCCGCTATGATTGTCCCATTTTACCATTTCGGTCCGTCCCACTAAGATTGTCCCATACCTTTTTTGGTAAAGTTTGTGTGGTTCTAAATCATTCCTACTTTATTCTTACTTTATCAATTCAATATCAACCACATAAACCCACTTTTATTAATAGCCGTGCCACCTTCTCTTGTCCCAAACTTAGGGAGACGGACCTACGACACAAACTTTGGCGACCCAAAATTATCAATTCAATATCAACCACATAAACCCACTCTCATTAGCGATTGTACTTTGATCTCATTTCAATAAATAAAATCATTGCTTTAAAAAAAAAGTATGAGACAATTAAATAGGGACATCCCAATATGGTAAAACGGGACATTTAAAAGGGGACGGAGGGAGTACATGATAGTTTTTACAAATCAAGTATAACATACTCTGTACAATAAAAAAATATCTAATAAAGTGATTTATTACTCTAGTTCACAATTGCTCCAGTTCACATTTCATCTTTTGAATGTCATTGACATAATTCCATTTCTGACCCTTTCAAATAAATACCCTAGTTTAAAACTTAAAAGAGTCAATTAAAAGCTAATGACAACAAAAACTCATTTTTCAACTGTATCAAAGTGTGATTTACATTAGAATATAGTTAATTTTTACATATTAGATTGTTACTAAATTAATTTTGACCTATTGCTATACTACGTACCAGAAATGGTCTTAATCCTTATGCTTTGTGTGGGACTATAAGACTTAAATTGTGGCAGCTTCCCCCCATATTATACATATGGATCCGCCCTGGACTAGAGTATTCACATGTCATGACTTGAAGTGTTCTGTGTGATTGACGTGCACTTTGTCGTGGTGTGCACTCAAAAGAATAATACAATACAACAATTATACGTAGTATAATGAAGTAAGGTTCGTATCCACAGGGAAAGGAATACTTCTCTCTTTATAACTAGTAACAAGGGGGGGTTTAGGTTGAGTAAATGAACTTTAAATTATATTTAAACACGAAGATGAACGAGTTATGTGGTTTAATTAATAAGAAGAAGACTTGGCTTTGCTTTTATCTACTTAATGAAATGTTCGTTGATCCCGGTTATATCTTTAACTATCTTCCTCTCGAATACTCAATCGAGGAGTATATCCAGTTCATCGAGGGTAGTTATTAATAACGAGAAGCGTTCATTAATAAAACTTACTACCGAGTCAATATAGAACAAGCGCTGTATATTAACTTGATAGTAGCAATAAAATCAAGATGAAAACGATTGAGATTGATAACCTCAACACAAGCGGTTTATTGGTTCAATCAATATAATTAATTCCCCTTGCTTATTAACCATGAGAAGCATGCATTAACAACCCAAGTTTACTACCGTGAAAGAACCGAATTAATAACAAGCGTATTAATCGATTGATTCTAGTAATAATTAATATATAGAACAAGACTAGTTGATACTTTAAGTAATGCTCAATATATTAATATGGAATATGAATAGGAAGTAATTAATATTCAAGGAAGAAGATTAAAGAAAATAACTCACAACTTACAAATCATTAAGCTTCAAAGTAGCAAAACCAAGATGGAAGAGTTTAGCTCCTCATTTGGAGACTAAACATGATGAAAAATATAAAGAAAGAACTTGTCTAAACTGAGCTAAGAAGTATATGTGAATTGGTGAGAATATTGTGAAGGAAAGGAGGTGTATTTATAGGCTTTTTGGGGTGCAGGTCGGGTACTCGATCGAGTATATATATGTACTCGATCGAGTATGTGCAGAAAGCTGAATTCGATCCATACTCGATCGAATTTATAGTAGAATTCATAGCTATACTCGATCGAGTATGTCGGTGTACCCGATCGGGTATAGACACTCGATCGTGGGGAAATCTTCCTCTGCATGCTCCTTTGTTTTCGGATCGGATCCTTGAAAATCAGTATTGGTACTCGATCGAGTATAAGGTATACTCGACCGAGTACTGGTCAAAATCAGGAACTTTCCTTCTTTTTGTCTTGTACTCTTGCACCTTCCTTCACCAATGATCATTTGATTGATCTTGGACCTGTTTAAGCTCAGAATAAACCTAATCTAAACAATTTACAAGAATTTAACAAACTAACTATTACACCAAAAGTGTGTAATTTCCGAAACATTAAACAACCAAAACTAACTAAAAACGTAAATAAGCACACGGAAATTACAAACGTATCAGTGATAGAAATCAGTGCATGCATATGTTCTTTGAATTAATATGTTAAATACGTTGTTGACTTATAAAAAATATCAGGAATCTAGACTTGGATATATCATGGATAACGGAAGGTAACTGACTGTCTGAAACATATGCCAATGGAGTTGATGAGTTCGTACAAT